TTATTTCTTTTATTAGCATTCTTTTTATTTATTTTATTATTGTCAGTTTATTGTCTTACATCTATTTCTTTTATTTCATTATGTTTTTTTATTTATTTTATCCCTATCTGCTCTGTTACTTGATAAGTTGTTATATTGTAATTTTAATAGTTTATTGATTTAACAGTTTACTGGTACCTTCTTATTATTAAATTTTACTTTTACGATTTTTATTATTAAATTATAGCATTTGCTAATTTTTTTACTGTACAACTTCTCAGTCCCGGATTCCTGTATTACTCAGCTACATTGTAAATGAGGGTCTCCCTCAATGTATTCCGAGTTTAAATATAGGTTGATTGATTGATTGATTGGTTGATTCTGAGGAACTATTTCACCATTGCAAAGAACCACTTAAGCATGAAAATGGTTCGTTTAGTGTTTATGGTTCTATATAGAAACACTGCCTTTTCTAAATAACCATCTTTTTTAAGAACCTGATGGTCTTTTTTTTTAAGAGTGTAGGCTTTAATTAAAAAAATTGCAGCTCTTGCGATTTGAAAATGCAATTTCAATATAAAAAGGATTAATCTTTCAGCCCTACACCAATGCATCACAAACACACATTCAAAGACCCTTTAAATAGAAGGCAACCATTGGCGTACAAATCTTTAATTGCACGTCATGCCACTCTTCCATCTGACCTTTGCTCTAGCCGCTTACTGCATTGTCTTAATCGGTCATTAAGGGTGGCAATTTGCTCTAATTCACACTGTTGTAAACACCAGCCTATTTAAAGCACCCGACTGGAAGAAAGTGTGACGTGAGTAGGAGAAGAGGTGAACTATGCATAGCCAGAACAGTTAGACCAGAACAGCTAAGGTCCAACACTGCAGTCCTCCACTTTGACCAAGCACACTTTGAGTCTCAGGTACAAACTCAGGTTGTACTATGGACTTGACTGATACAAGGCCATGACTAAGTCCTGTAGCATGTCCAGAACTGCCTATTTAGCAAACACTTCTCATTCTCTCTGAAACACCGACATAGAAAAGGTCACAAGTTATCAGTCTTACACATCACATGTTCTTCAGCTCTGAGGAAGTGATGCTCATTTGCGTAAGAGTAAACATCTGAAGTAGTGGTGAAACACTGAAGATGTTGGGAATGTATACTGCCTTTAACTTTATTACTGATTAATAGAACATAGAGCGAGCAGCATTAACCAGGTCAGCCCAATTTTTGGAACTGTAGCCAAGAGAACTCTTGGTTTCCTAGGCCAATCAATCACCAAGGTCCTTTGTTCACTATTGATGCTGTTGATGTGGCGGAAGGAGAAAGAAAGGGGATGTACTTTAATACAGATTAGCAGAAGCTGAAACATTGCTACATACCTAGGGAGAGCCTATACCAGCAGTGGTTGTCATTGCTTTACCCAGTGTTTCTGCTATACATCTTTTGTAGCTGCTTCAGCATTTTATTGTGGTTGGGGGCGAAGGGGGTCCTGGGGCTCTTGCCTGCCACCACTGCTGAAAAACATGCTAGAGGAAACACTGTTACCTTTCTTTTCTTTTTTTTTTTTATTTCTACATTCTTACTGTGATTCTGAGAAGTGTATGTGGGAGGAACCACAGCGATAGTGTGCAAGTTAAAGATTAAAGAAAAGAACAGTCAAATAAAAGAATAGCATAATGGTGCAGTTCAGCAAAAGCTGTGGTTGTAGTATATTGCTATTTTTAATTTTATCATGAAACTGTAATTAATCTAGTTAGAAATAATCGAACAGTCACACTGACTTTACTGCATGAGGCTGTAGTGTCTGTGGACGCTCAACACGAGGCCTTTTTATCTAAGGTCATTTCAGCTGCCGTCAAAATCAGCTAATGTATGAGAGTTGAGACAGTGTTTTGTCTGATTTGTGAAACCTGATGCTGTGGTCTGAAGTCCCAAAATGTACAAGGTACATAGAAATCTTTTGTACAAACATGATATCTGCTGGCTGTAACACCACACATTGCCCACCCCCCAGACTTCCCCTCCACACACCATCACCAGGCATTGGCCTAGCTATCACTACAGATTATATTAGTAACTGCATTATTTACCAATATTTTTGATAATTAATCAAGTAATCAGAAGTTTTTTGTTAAATACTTCATTGGAAGAGGACAAAATAGAAAGCCCTTCTGTGGCAAAAATGTGAACGTACACCAAGATCATACATTTTTTTATTTTATAAATCAAGTAATCAAGTTTAAGTGCCTAATCGTGACAGCTCTAGCACCATCCACAGCTACTGCCACTGTAAGTGAAAGAACTAATGGTATTCAGTCCCAAATCAATCACTAGTATTACGTGCACAACCTCACATCTGAAGCTGTTTCCCTATGCTAGCGACTTCCACTAACGTTCGAGGGGTAATATGTTCAGGCCTGCAGATGTGACTGTGTGTTTTGTGTGCTTTGATCTCTCCAGGCATTTGGTGTGAGGGTGTGTGCAAGCCTGTATGTAGAAAATGCCAAACGTCAACTATTCACACACTGCTGACTTATCGTCCACTTCCTAGTTTTGTGATGAAGCGAAGCAGATGTGCGTGCGTGCGGGTGTCAACGCCAATAATGACCACACCCATGCTATAGAAGGAAAGGGGAAGAGAAGGAAAAAGACCACCCGCTGCTCAACAAAAAGCAGACATCAGGCCCTCATCAGCCTCAGCCATACAGGATAAACATTACCATAAGTATGGCTCTCTCAGTTCCTTCTGTCAGATAATGTGATTTAATGTGAAGTTTACCATGTTTCGCCCAAAGAATGGCCAAGTTTGGGCAAACGCAACCCGTGTCATGATGACGTCGTCTGAGTTCCTGAGAGGATCAGGGACAGAGGGAGCTTTTTTGTGCTCTTTGCAGGACATTTAACCCTTGTGTGGTGTTGGGGTCTGTGGGACCCATTTTAAATGTTTGCCAAAAGAAAAAAATATGCAATTTATAATGATTTCAACCTCAGATTTCTTGGTCTTCGCTCATTTTCTGTGAAGAACATATAAAATAACACATTTTCAGTGACTTCACTCTGTTCACCCCCCCACACATCTATATTACACGTGGTGTTGGGTGAACTTGCGGGGAGTAAAAGTGTGGAGGTGCTGTGTCCTTCACTCTGTTCTCCTCCTACATGACCTGCTGTTAGTGTGTGTGTGTGTGTGTGTGTTTGAATATTTGTGTGTATGTGTGAGAGTGGATAACATCGACAGGCTGCTGACTGGCTACAGCTGCTAAAAGAGAACCCTACGCTGGACACTTGTGATATTGTAAACATCTGGTATTTTTACATAAATTGTTATGGTTGTATTGATTTTCAAAAACAATAATGCAGTGGGTCCAGCAGACCACTGAGTAACACACACATCAACACCACACAAGAGTTAAACAGAGGAATATGTGGGAGCAGACTGAGACTGAGCTTTTGCTTCTGCTGACGATTTTAATATGACTCTTCAGTCATAATCAGATGCGGTTTAAGGTCTCAATCATCTGCAAGCAAGTCTACTGGCAGCTGTTTGTGCAAACAAGGCGTCCTTACTGAAAAGAGGCTTTGAGCAGCCTAAAGAAAACCACACAAACATGCCGATTCACATGCAACCGAGCAGAAACTGCACCAAATCAACTGTTTCAAGCTGTGTTTGGTATTTTACAACTAAAAGGCATCAAAAACATAACATAAAGCAGTATAAATCAGATGTAAAACACTGCAGCCTGTGTGTCACACCCTCCAGTGTGATTCAGCGTGAGCTGCTGCCTCGCCAACCACCATGTTCAAGCTGAATTTGTTTCATGGTGCAGACGTGGATAAACGTCGCCTAAAAGTACATTCAAGAAAAAAAGTACTGTTTCTTCAGTGGATGAACTATTCAAATAGAAGTATTACAACACTTTGGGTTGGAGTGAAACAGTATTAGGCCAACAACTCAAGTTCCGTAGAACTGCAGTGGCACTTCTGAGGACACACTCTCAGAAATAAAGGTAGTAAACTGTCACTGGGGCAGTTCCCCTCTCGTCACTGGGGTGGTCCCCTCAAGGGTACATCTCAGTACCTTTAGTCAGGGAACATAACTGTACCATAATCCACTGAAATGATATTGTACCGAAGTTGTATTGACTCCACACACCCCGTCTCGCCTCCAGGCTTTTTATTTTATTGTTCTCTTTTAAATCATTCGGTTATGAAAAAGGTACAAATACGAACTTTTCACCTGGAAAAACATACTTAAGGTTCACAATCAGACCTTAAAACCACTGTTGTGCCTTTGAGGGAACATTTACACTGTTTGTACCTTGATGAACCAAAAATGAACCTGCACAGAACCTTTATTTCTATCTGTGCACCCAGCACCTTGTCTACCAACCCAGAGACTGAAGTTTGTCCAGGTAGTCTATATTCTTTTCTTTTTTTTGGATCCTGTTTGATCCAAAATGAAATGCTAAAGCTGGACAGTGAGATCTGTGTGCATCAGCAAAACAGTCCAGATGATGAACCAGCACAGCAGAATAAAATTAAACCCAAAAAAGGGGGAACTAAACGAGAACTTGAGTGAAAAGTACTTATTTCCTCACAAATGAACCTGAGTTTAGGTAAATGAATTATGAGAAGACCCTCAAAAGTACAACCCCTTCAGAAAGTGAAGCTGCTGAAATAACGTTACATGGAGCTGAGGAGAAGTTAACAAGCCACTACCCGCCTCTGACTATAAACAAAAGACAGATTCATCCATACGGAATAAGGAAGTGAGCGCAAAACAGAGCAAAGTCTCATTTTACAACATGAGTTTTTAGTTAAAAAGATTAACTCGGTACAGAAAACAGACCCTGACTGCCAAACATCTCCGGCTGACGCGCTTCTTCTGCCACAAAATTACTTTTGAATGGGAACCGTTGACACGTAGCGAACTGCGCTTAACCTCAAGCCCGAACATCTCCAACTCGCCCCCAAACACTGAGGCGCAGTCTGCGTTTGTTACCCACCTCGGTCTGGAGTCCAGAGAGGAGCCGCAGCTCTGCACGGAGAGCAGTGTGGGGGACTTGCGCGGTCCGAGCGGAGTGGGCTGGAGGCTGGACGGGGACAGGAGGTTCCCCTGCGACGAGAAAGAGCCGCTTTCCCGCTCGGAAAACACCTCATGTTCGTAGTCCGAGTCAGACGGCAGCACGAGGATGGGCGGCACGGTGAGGAGCCCGAGCGCGCTGGAGGGGCTGAGGCCGCCGCAGCTTCCCGAGGGAGAGAGGCTGGGGAAGGTACCGCAGCTGCTCGCCGTCGGAGAGAGTTCACCCGCGGCGGAGCCCAGGTCGCTGGCCTCGAGCTCGGGTCCGCTGAGGGCCGCGTCGTTCAGCTGCAGCACCGGCCGACCGTCGAGGGAGATGTTGGTGAGAAACAGCAGCGCTGCTCTTCTCCTCCGGGAGTCTCGGCTCTTTTTCGCGGGCTCTCTGTGAAGTTTGCCCGGGCAGCCGCTCAGCGTGCTCTGCGTACTGCACGCAGCAGCCGCCATTCTCAACTGAGGGATGCAAGACTTACACTCAGCGCCTTCTACTCCAGCGCCAGCGACCTGGACACACCCACTGCGGTCTGATTGGCGCTCGGTTTCTGATTAGGGTAAATAGGCGGGGAATGCGCGGAGCTGATTGGTCAGGAAACAGTGAGGCGTCACAAAAACAACATCAGAGGCTTTCCAGGGGATCTCTGAGGTGCAGTGGCAGTTACTTTGGCGCCGTTTGTGCAGCAAGATTTCTATGTTTGTTGATTAAACGTTATAAAAAGGCTTGACTGGACAGACCAGGAGCACAGAGTAAGGTCTGTATGTGCAATACATTAGTGTAGCATCCTAATACAACAAGCTATAATGCTTGATTTTATGTCCTTCATAAATACACTGTTCTGTATTTTCTGTTACTTCTGTTCTTATTAATATAATTTTCACAGCATTATTCTATCTGGAGAGAATGAGCAGAACAGTGCTTAACAAAATGTTAACAGTTATGTTTTTTAAATGTTATTGAGCATATTTAGCTGCTAAATGGAGGTTTGGTAATTAAATGAATGCTACTGTGCATTTATTTCTTCCTTCAGTCTGAAGCAGAGCATTGTAATGTCAGAGCACATTTGCTTAGAAATCACTAAGCTATAATTGATATTTTTGAGAACACTTTTAAAATTTCATGCATGTAGATCACACTTGGCATAGCCTTAATCTTAAGATATACTAGACCATGTGTGGTTGCTCTCCAAAAGTTAACATGGTATTAGAAAATTGACATATACAATGTGGCCAAAAATATGTGGACAACTGACCATCACACCTATACGAACTTGTTGAACATCCCATTCCAAAACCATGAGCATTAGTACGGAAAAAGTCCTTCCACAAGATTTTGGAGTGTGTCTGGCAGCATTCAGTCAACAGAGTATTTGTGAGATCAGGCAGTGATTTTGGATGAGAAGACCTGGCTTGAGGTCAGGGCTCTGTACACACCACTGGAGTTCCTCCACACCAAACTCGTCCCACTTGTCTTCATGGAGCTCGCTTTGTGCACAAGGGCTCAGTCATGCTGGAACAGGAAGGTCTTCCCTAAATGGTTGCCGCAAAGTTGGAGGCATATAATTGTCTAAAATGTCTTTGTATGCTGTAGCATTAACATCACCCTTCACTGGAACTAAGGGGTCAAGCCCAAACCCTGAAAAACAGCCCCGGACAATTATCCCTCCTCCACCAAACTTTACTGTTGGCTCTATGCATTCCAGTGGGTCGCGTCCTCCTGGTATCTGCCAAACCCAGATTCGTCCATTAAACTGTCAGATCATCAGTGCATCATGTTTTATCACTCCAGAGAACATGTTTTCACTGCCCCAGAGTCCAGTGATGGCATGTTTTACACCACTACAGACAGTGCTTGGCATTGAACACAGTGATCTTAGGCTTCTGTACAGCTGCTCGGCCATAGGAAGCTGCCAATGCACAGTTCTGGTGCTGATGCTGCTTCCAAAGGCAGTTTGGGACTAAGTAACAAGTGATGCAACAGAGGATAAGCCATTTTTAAATGCTTTGTGCTTAGCACTCGATGGCCCTGTTCTGTGAGTTTGCATGGCCTACTGCTTTGTAGCTGAGGTGTTGTTGCTTCTATTTCATAAATATAGCACTTACTGTTGACTGGGGCAGATCTAGCAGGGCAGAAATTTCACTAATTGACTTGTAGAACGTACCATGTTTAAGGTCACTGACCTATTCAGTAAGACCCATTCTGCTGCCAATGTTAATCTATGGAGGTTATTAGCACTGGGTGTGGCAGAAACATCAATAATTAGCAGGGGTGTCTGCATACTTTTGGCCACATAGTGTAGTACCTATAGTAATCATAAGTCAAGACATTTGTATTTGTGTAGTTTGGACCTTGACTTGCTATTACTAGATAATGCAATGACCCGAATGACTGGCAATCTTCTAACGTAGTATTAGAAGGAGGGGATTTTTAAACACAAACTCAGTACAGGATGCCATATGGTTGTGGACTTAAGAAGGATTTGCAGTAGAAGACAGAAAGACCTGTAATAAAATCATCATTGTCATCAACCTGTGTTTTTATACAATCAGTATCCAGCTCTCCTGAATTCCACAGTGAAACTGTACCAAATCCTACTGTTATCACATAATTCACAATGGCTGGGACTTGGTGAGACTAGATCTTTGATGATATATATTTATCTCTGTATAAATGCACCTCAATGATTGTTCTATTTTTGTGGCTGTAACTAAAACAAAGAGCAACCTTTCAAACTTGTAGCTTTTCCATAATAGTAATGGCTCAAAATAGCAGTGTGGTCAGTTCACGGCTGCCAGCAGGGACTAAACCTGCCTTCAGCTGTTCTATTCAGAGAAGTAAAGAGACAATAAGCCCAGATGTCTTTATGGCATAAATTTGGTTTCTCGCCATATAGTTGCATCAATTCACACCCACTGAAACAGTAACATTTATTGGTATGTTTCACCAGAACAGGCCATCCACAATTGACAATCTCATAAAATCGATTTACAATATTTTCCAGTTGCATATTAGCTCTAGTGTCACATCTTTCCTCTCCAAAAAGGAGTTGCCACCACACGTGGCCTTCAAAATTCTCAGTGTATTTTACCGAGATTTAAATATCACATATGCAGTCAGGGTCATAATCATAAAACTGCCTCTGTTTGGGATTTGACTTTATGTCCAGGGTGAGAGGAGGTACAATAATAATGCTCCCCCTCCCGCTCGAAAAAACCTGACAGGCTGATTACATAAGTCGTGATTAGCCTCGCATATGTAGGTCCCCTTTGATAACCCTCAGGGTCCTTGTGCTCAGTACTCATCAGCCCTGACATGGACCGGAGGCTGCCAGTGGACTGCAGCAAGGTTATGGTGGCACCAGAATGTCAGCAGTGCTGGGCTTTTCATCCTTTTTTCCCTTGTGGACTGCAGCGCTGCACAGCAGGCACAGTCAGCCGGCCCCAGGCTCTAAGAGATTAGTGTGGACTAAGCAAAAACAGCCTCTCTCTCTCTCTCTCTCTCGCTCTCTGTTTTGAACATATGTGCATCAGAAACATTTTGTTACTCTATCACTTCCACAGTGCTTCCTGTTGAAAGTAATGCACTGAATATAGTTGATTGATATGTACATAATTTCCACATTAACAAAATATGTCAACACAATGTTGTCTTTCAGTTCATTCAGTTTTGGTAATAACAGTGCTGATGTAATATATTTTATTCATGTGGAAATGCCGTACACATTTACATCAAGCAAATTCAGTTTTTTACTGTATTCTCCAAAGGCAGGGGTGTCCAATCTTATCCACAAAGGGCCGGTGTGGGTGTGGGTGTTCATTCCAAACAAGTGATTTCACTCGTTTAATGAGTCAGCCTCAGTCTTTTAACAACTGAGCAAAGCTTCTGCTTTGTGCAATGAAAACCTGAAGCCACCCCGGCCCTTTTGCAGACAAGACTGGACACCCCTGTCTAAAGGCTTACTCACACCAAGTTTGATTTTTGCGAACAAAAAAATTCTAATATATAAACATCTATAACACTGTGCGTATAAATACATTTGGCATTTTACTTTATATGCATGGCACCTCATAGGCCTGGCTTTCAACTCACACTCATTTAACTTTGGCAGGCTGACGGTTCTCCACAAGGGGGAGCTTTTAGCACTCAAGCAGCCTTTATTTGTGTCTTTAGAATGGTGGAATCTGCATAAATAATGGTCAGTACTGGCTCAAACATAAACTTCTATGTAGGGCTCAATGGCTGCTAGGGGCGCCCTAACAACTTGGGGTTATTATTGTAGTATTATGTTGTTTAAGATGCTTGAGTGAGGGGAAAAAGCAACTGTTTAATCGTGTCTTCCAAAAGAACGAAAGCATCCAGAGCTGAAAACCAGCAAAGAAAACGAGAAAAGCTTAAAGGTGTATTGGTAGATTAGTTGGTGAAATAGTCAATCTGAAGTCTCGTTCAACTTAGACAGCCTTTCTGACTAATTTTCAGCTTCACGAAAACCTAACAAACCCTGACGCAGTTAATTTATTTTACATAATAATAACTTAAAGACTCCTCATGTTTCACTTAGTACTTTACTACTTTGTACTACCTAAATTTGTAGAAAGTCAATGATTTATAAAGGTAAAAAGCAGCGCCATCACCACTGCCACCAGGGTTAGATCCAACTAAGTTTAAAACTAGCTGGGTACATAACAATAACTAGCTGCGTTCCAAAGCCAAGGCTGCAGCTGAGGTAGTGTGGGTCCTCGGTAGGACTGTCCTATGAAGGCTCCTCCTAAGTAGTCTATTGGTCACACAGATGTAACAGTACTAACGAGGCTACGTCACCAGAGTGGCACGAAACACCTGAGGGAACTGGTGAGAGAAAATGGAGCCTGTTGCATTGTGTTTGTTGCTTTTTCAATTCTTCACGAAATGGAGGAGATGTTCTTATGTAGTACGTTAAACGACATCGCTGCTGTCGGAAGAAAACCTGTCAGAAGAAAACCTCGTATCTCCATTTTTGTCGTTTTTCAGTTTTTGACATAATTTGAAAGTATCTGTTGCTCTTTACATTGTGTGTAAATTTCATGATGAATGGACCAAAAGAAACGGCCCAGAATGACTTGGAAAAAATTCTGGTTCCATTGACTCACATTAAAAGTAAAGTATATTTTTCCTTCTGCTGTAAAGTCACCGTTTTTGGAGATACGAGGTTTTGTTCTGACAACAGCGATACTAAAACTAGTAAATACTTCTAAATAAAATACGATACAACCTACATTTTAAAACAAGTTCTGCTCCAACGGCTTTGTTTTTCGCCATTTTCATGGTACTGTTTTTTTGGTCCCACTTTATATTAAGTGTCTCTAATAAATGTGTAGTTACACATGAATAACCTATGCAACAACAATGTAACTACTGATGATTTAGTCAATGTTACAGATGGATTACAGAAGTACAGCCTATGTAATTACACATGTGTATCAACTTCAGTTTTGCCTCATGTAATTACACAAGTGTATCTTTTAGATACGCTACAGATCAGAAGTCTTTTCCAACAGTAAAAGGAAGCATGTTTTATGTAACATTGCATTTATGTACATAACTGTGTGTAAACAGGGTAAACTAATCACATCACATTGATTAATACCACTCTGTAATTACACTGTACCTATATAACAACTACACAGGAACTTTCCTGTAGTGTAGTGTTAAAGTTACACTTTAAAATAAGTGTAGTTGTTATGTAGATACTGTGTAGTTGTTATGTAGGTACTGTGTAATAATGGAGTGGTAATATAGACACTGCTTTGGGGGAAATGCAACACATAGGTGGACGTCTGCTGTACTGTCACATTACATTACTGGTTTAAAGTTGAAACTGGTTACAGCCCTAGCAACATAAATGACAGCTACATCTTAGGAAAGCTGGCAGATATAGTGTAAGCAAGTTATTACATACTTCCTTTTGCTGCTGGGAAAAAAAGCTTCTGAAAACAATGGCTGTTTCAGTCTGATTACAAATGTAATTACATTTCTGTTATTACCCTTCTGTAATTACATGCGAGAGAATTGGCTGTTACAACTATTAAGATACACTTGTTTAATTACATGAGGCAAAACTGAACTTGATACACATGTGTAATTACATAAGGCATACTTCTGTAATCCATCTGTAACACTGACTTAATCATTAGTAGTTACATTGTTGTTGCATATGTTGTTCACATGTAAGTACACAGTTATTAGAGACACTTAATATAAAGTGGGACCTTTTTTTTCCTGTTTTTTTTGTCCTTCGTGTCATTTGTGTGCAGAGAACTGTGGGTATCCAAAGGCCTGGAAGGATACACACGATGCGTGAAAGTGAAGGACTCTTAGTATACAGCCTAGAAATGCAGCCTACGTTGAAATGTAGCCTGCATTTCTAGGCTGTATACTAAGAGTCCTTTACTGTAGAATGGCCTGCTATGACGTAGCGGCCGAGAAATGCAGCCTAGGCTTTGGAGCGCAGCCACTGTGTTGTAAGACAGACCCTGGACCCAGAACGCTGATAAGGTTATCTGTAATTTAAATTTTAACTTATTAGAACCCTAAAGGAGCACCTGATTATCAGCAATACACAATAAGACAGTACGGTATCAGCTAGCAAGATGGGGGCTTACTAATAAATGGTTATGTGTCAGCTGGCAAAAGATCGCCAACTGTAAGTGTTTCAAAAAATGCATCAGACTAGATGTAATGGCTCCATTATATTAAACATCGCATCTTTTTTTTTGTCTCACAAAATTCATACTTGGTGTGACTGAGCTCTATGTCTCCCTGCTTCTCTGTCTTGTGACGTACGCGCGTTCAAAATGTTCTGCGTGTGATTCCATCACTGTTGCTGTGCTCTCTGTACTGTTCTCTAAGTCTCTCTCTCTCTCTCTTCAAGGCAGATCTCCTTTGTAATTTGGCCACATGCAAGGCCTAATCCACCAACCAGCATGCAAATAACATGCAAATCTGCAGATGCAAATGAACATAGGGCCCCACCCACCGATTGTAAACACTGGCCAAGTATGTGGCATACAGAGGGATGGACATGTTGTTTGACCTTGACTTTAACCTTATAAACTGCTTATTATTCAGTTATTAATCATAACAGTTTAAAATTTAGTAACTACTGTGAATTATCACATTACTGTAAGGGAACTAATGAGAATTATGTAGTTACAGGTGTGAAGAATGAACGTCCAGAACCATCCTCAGAGTTTAAGGAGTTAAAAGGCCATGATGTTTGCGTGATGTTAATTCTGATTCATTCTACGGGGATTCATACATAAAGAGAGGTGGATAAACTGTTTCTCTGATTCTGTCTCTCTGTCTCTCTCTGTCTTTTCTTCTATCTCTCTGTTTCCCCTCTCTGTCCTTCTCTCACTCTCTCTCCCCCTCTCTCTCATGTCTCTCTATCTCTCTTGCTCTCTCCCTTTTTTCTCTCCCTCTCTCCTCTTCTCTAGACATGAGAAACTCTTTTGTCGCCCTCTCCTGTCTTTCTCATGTTTTTCCATCTCTTTCTCTTCTTCTCTCTCTGTCTGTTTCCTCCCTCCTTCTCTTGCTCTCACTTTCTTGTCTCTTTCTCTGTCTCATGTCTCTCTCTTTTATCACCCTCTCCCTCTTTCTGATGTCCCCCCTCTTGTCTCTCTCTCTTTCTGATGTCCCCCTCTCTCGTCTCTCTCTCTTTCTCATGTCCCCCCTCTCTTGTCTCTCTCTTTCTCATGTCCCCGTCTCATCTCTCTCTCTTTCTCATGTCCCCCGTCTCAACTCTTTCTCTTTCTCATGTCCCCCTTTCTTGTCTCTCTCTCTTTCTCATGTCTCTGTTCTTCCCACTGTCCCATTTTTCACATCTCTGTCTGTTTTTCCCTCTCTGTCTTTCTCATGTCTCTGTCTGTTTTTCCCTCTTTCTTTCTCATGTCTCTGTTTTTCCCTCTATCCCTGTCTCTCTTGTCTCTCTCTCTTTCTTATGTCTCTGTCTGTTTCACCCCACCCTCTCTTTCTAATCTCTCTCTCTCTCTCTCTCTCTCTCTCTCTCTCTCTCTCTCTCTCAGAGGTAGTAGTCCTCCTCCTCAATGTCTCCGTCTCCCTCCTCGAAGCCCAGAGCCTCTATATCATGTGTGATGTCACTGATCCGCTGGTTAAAGTCGTGCGAGCCACAGGGCAGAGAGCAGCCGTCGTATCCCCGCACGGCGGTGGCCGAAGTGCTGCTCATGCTGCGTTTGATCCGGCCGAAGCTGTCCGTCAGGATCCCCCCCTCGCGGATGCCAATTCCTTCCAGAAACGTCTCGAAGATCCCCACGTCCTGATCAGGGATAAAGGGCCGCATACCTGCCCACAGACAGAGACAGAGAAAGAGAAAAGAGAGAGCTGGACTGGATAATAATGCTTGCGTAATAATATTTTCGTTACAGTGACGGGTGGCGCTGCGTTTGGCTGGCCGTCCTGGTGTCGCTGTCATTAGGGATGGATTAGAGCCGGAGAGGATCAGTGTGATGAAAATGAGCACAGCGCTGCAAAAATAAGCATTTCTCTGTAACGAGAGTAAGGGAACAATCTGCAATGCGGTTAGAGATTAATACAGATTAGATGTTGACAGCAGGGATTGGTTGTCAACAAACAGGCAAACACACCAACTCACAACTCCACTCTTCTGCGTACATGAGCTCCACACCTGTTCATACAGAAAACAGTGTCTACTAGAAGTGTGTACGTCATTTCCTAGAGGATAAAACACATTATGTCAACATAATCATTGTGGAAAGTAAGAAAAATGAAAGACAGACTGTGTTGATGTAATATATTGTAAGAAAGAATGATGAAGTAATCAATTCAACGCATCACTTTTTTCAGAGTTTAGGATTTTCACAAAAGATAAACACATTTTAATATATTTATGTGATTTTAGCTGCACTTGAAAATGTTTCTATTGGATGTGAAAGGAGTTGTGATTGTGAAGGAGTGTTTATTGTGCTATACCACAGTACTGTGCAAAAGACCACCCTTCATTTAATTAAATTTAAATTCTAGTCATTAAAAGTCTTTCATTTTTTAGAAGTAATTCTGAGTAGAATTGAAGATAATAAACTTGTAGTAGAAAGGAGAAAGTCAAAGGAAATATTGAAGAAAAGTTTAATTTTATTAAAAGACATAAATGGATAAATATAAAAATCATTAAAGGTAATAAGAAGAGAAAATGGCACTGCTAACAACCATGCAAGACCGCCAAAACTGTCAGCAGCTGTCATGAAGCCATGACTGAGAAAATAAGGAAATGTGCAACTCAGACAAACAAGCTGCTGGTGTTCTCTGAACAACAGACCGTCCACCCCAGAGTCCAGACCTCAACATAACATCACTGAATGTTTTTGGGATTACTTTGATGGTGAGGAAAAACTGAAAGAAATTCTCCCAAAAAGAATGAAAACTGTGATAATGCAATGTAGGAGGTGATGAGGCTGGATGCAAGCGTGAGCTGCGGAAACTGAGTAGCAGAGGTTTGTAGAACAGCCAAGTCCATAATGAAACAAAACTGAGGAAAACAGAACCAAACGAGACACAAAACCTACAACAAGATTAGTGACAACAAGCAACAGGGTAACATAGACAGTGCAAAACAAAGAGACTGAGCAAACACAAGCGTATAGATACACTGAGGGGACTAATCAGAGGGCTACAGATTACAGGGAGGTGGAGCAGATGACAAGGGGGCAGGACCAGGGAAGAGACGCTGACCAAAACAACAACAAAAGCACATGGCACAAGAAAACAAAGGCACATGGCAGACGTAAACAAAAACACCTGGCACTGGGAAACTAGAAAACCAAGGCTAAAATTGAAAAGACAGTACGGAACAAGACAGGACATTACAAATAAAGACAAACCGTGAAAAAAATAATATTTTAATGTGTAATTTTGTGTAATTTTCTGTTAAATATATTGTCGCTGTTGTTGAAAATCTTTGATCTTGCCATGGAAGAGATTCAGGAGACCGGGGTTCGCAGAAATAATGATGCTTCTATTAAAAAGAGAGAGCTCAGTATACCTGACTTAGTCTCTCCCCAATCTGAACAGCAGCTCAGGCACACAGTTTTTATGCTATGCAACTGACCCCCCACCCCCAATAGAGTCATACAGAACAGAGTGGGACATTCGAATCCTGTCGTAAATACCTTACTGTGTTCTGCCCCAGCACATCCTCCTCAGGGGGTGTTGTAAGGCCATTTGGTGTAATTGTTCAAACCATGAGAACAGAAATGGAGGTGGCTACTGAAACCCTTCAGCATTAATACTGTTTAACAATGAATAACAATTAAAGCAAAGAAAAATAAACAGAAAACTAGAAAATATATCAAAATAAAACACTGTCCAAAGAAAAACATGTATCTCCATTTTTTTTTTTTTATTTTTACTTTTTTACATCATTTGAGCTCGGCAGCTGCTCTTTACATTGTGTGACAGTTTCATGATGAATGGGTTAATAAAAATGCTCCAAAACTGTCTGGAATAAAATCACTTTACATTACACGGAAAGTAAAGAACATTTCTGGCCTCTCTTGTAAACTTACCATTTTGGAGATGCTCGTTTTTCTTTGGACGATGTGTTCTCCGCTTTCTTTCCTGACAGTGAAAAGTCTCTGAATGAGCACCGTACTGTACTTGCTCTAAAACTAGTCAATTGTAGGTGTGTTATGAGGACATATCAGAATATTTCTAAATCTAATGCATTCTGAATCTTCAGCTGATAAAATAATGGAAAGTGCGTTTGGTCAAATTCACTAATGTTCTAAAAGAAAACAATCAGCTTGTTCGAACTCTGGAGAAAAAGACCCATAATGCATGTGTCCCAGTGAATCGACCTCACCTGAGGAAAGAGCATGTTAGCGCAATTGTTGAATTTCAAAAACTTTGAAATAGGCTTTAAATTAGTGTCTTGGTATGAAACTTGAAAGCAAGTCTCCTGAAAAGAATGGAAGCTGTAATAAAGGCAAAAGGTGGACACACTAAGTACTGAAAAGATTTATATTATATTTATTGTAGGCTTTTATTTAATTATATGCTAAATATGTTTTCTGTTGTTTTTTTTCTGATGCTGAAAAATGAAACTTTTTTACTCAATGTCTGTTTTGACTGGATATTAAACATGGTGGTCTCTGACTTCTGCACAGTGCTTTATATTCATTGCTCCACTTTCCTACTTACGGCTCGAAAGCCCTGCCGCTCTGCCTCATTTCACAGGCAACTGCACAGATCCGCCAGCAGAAAGAGTGCTGACACATCCGCTTGGTTCTGGGTTACGTTTGATGGCGATGTGAGCAGACAGAGGTAGAGGCAGTGCTGTCAGCGTGTTATATAACTGTGTCACTGTACTGCACACTCTTGGCAGTTTCAGTATAGTCTGAATGCCTCGTACTAGAGAACAACACAAATGCCTAAAGGTCTTATGCAGATCCGTGAAAATCTTTTTTTTTTTATGAATCTTTTCATTGGGTATGCAGAGTAAACAGGGACAAACGATGTTAAGCAGAGAAGTAGAGAATGACCTTTCTTTCCTTTTTATAGACCAATGATTTTAAATAAACAAATAAATAAATAAACTAAATCAAACTAAAGTATAAGTGAAATACATAAATGAGCTGTGAAAATCTTTTTGAAATCTAAGAGAATTATACACTCGCCGACCACTGCGGTAGAAAAATCTAGCTTAAAGATTTACTTTCTTGGTGTAAAATTAGAGACTGCAGATCTTTTTCCATGCGCAGTTTGTGTTTATGAATGTTTGTGAATGGTCAGAGTCACTGTAGACTGGTTATTAGCCCTTAGAAACCAAAGCCTGCAGTTTGCGGGCAAAAATGTAGTTGACTTCTAGCCTTCATAACTTCATAACGGTTTAATCTACAGACATGATACACATATCAGACCAGTCAGCAGGCCCGGCCCTTACTAGCTAGTGTGACGTCATCGAGCTGTGATGTCAGCATCTGTGACGGCAGCATCTGTGAGTAATTCAGCTCGGAAAAACACCCAAAATTCTCATGTTATCGCTCTGTTTTTTGGCCTTCATATTTCAGCAAAGGGTTAAAACAGCGACATGATTCACAAATCAGATCACTCACCAGACTCTGACCTCACCATCCAGAGTGATTTCATCCACCTGTGACCGTCCATCAGCCAGCAATCCAGCTCCAAAATCACCCAAAACCCTACTCGCTACTGTTATATCACATCTCTGCTTTTAGCCTTCGTATTGTAAACAAAGGGTTAAAAACGGTGATGATTCACACATCAGAACACTCAGAGGGACCTACCATCACTAGGCAGAGTGAAAGAAACCAGCTCTAACATCCCACAACCCAGAAATACAGCACAAACACACAGCCAGATCACTGTAGAACCTGCTATTAGCTCTCTGATTTAGCCCTTATATGGCAACGAGGGTTAATAAATGATGGTGTAAATGTGGTGGGAGACAAAGGAGACAAAGTAGCAGGACGCAAGATCTATTCAGAGCCAGTCCTGACCTCCATGGGGCCCTAAGAAAAAAATCTAACGGGCTCTCGTACCCGACCCGTGAGCCACGTAAACCATTCGCAATTACCACACAGGCACACCTGACACCCCAGTGCTCCCACCACAATCCTCCCTCCTTTAAACCAGTTGGCTCCATCTGTCGCTCTAAGAATACGTAGATCTATCCAGAATAGAATGAGATACAAACAATATTTATCAATCAACATTTACTCCTCTACTCACAAACCTAAGCGTAGCACCTGAAATATTATACATAATACTATTATTAATTTTATTGGCTGCATCATGTCCTTTTAAAGTGGCTCCCCCAGATTTCCCTTTAGGCTTTGGCTTGGCTGAATACTTGATGGTCATTATTTACTGAGACATGTGCATCCATATTGTCCAGTATGCCTGTCTAATCATCATTTTAGATTCAGTATTTAATCAATAGTCAGTGTCAATCCATTGCTTTCCATTTTGTATTAGTCCAGAACTGTAACTAAACCCTGACTGAGAGACTAGATCAGCAGTGTCAAACTCATTATATTAAAAATATATATAAAAATCTCAGCAAATCTGTGGGCCAGCTGTGTTTTTATTTAATTTTTACTTTATATTTTGCCACGACCCAAACAGGCTATTGTTTATTCAAAATAAGTCAAAACTGCAACAGCAAAATAGGCACTAAATGTTCATTCAAAAATAATTCTAAACAAAAATAAATTGTTTTGGTAGTTTTTTTTTAAACTGCCTATTTGCTTGAACTAGAAACCAGGCATCTTTTCTTTTTGTGTAACCACTGGCCCATAGACTGATGTTGGGCATCGGAGCACACATTATGTTGCACTGCATGCTGGGGACTGTAGTGACATGATTCACAGATCAGATCACTCACCAGACTCTGACCTCACCATCCAGAGTGATTTCATCCACCTGTGACCGTCCATCAGCCAGCAATCCAGCTCCAAAATCACCCAAACCCCACTCGCTACTGTTATATCACATCTCTGCTTTTAGCCTTCGTATTGTAAACAAAGGGTTAAAAACGGTGATGATTCACACATCAGAACTCTCAGAGGAACCTGCCATCACTAGCCAGAGTGAAAGAAACCAGCTCTAACATCCCACAACCCAGAAATACAGCACAAACACACAGACAGATCACTGTAGAACCTGCTATTAGCTCTCTCAGAGAGAAACGAGCTAATAATAATAGAAAATTAAAAGAATTTTGTGGGCCTGATTCGGCCTGCGGGCCTTGTGTTTGACACATGGGGACTAAATAATCATTGTCCTGTTTTAAAATGATGTGGGCCTATGAGGAGTGTGCAATCACACCCATATACTGTCTGGACTGGACTGGTCTCCACAGAGGTTTCTGCTGCAAAGCGCAAGTTTCAGTTTAATTTTTGTGTATGTGCATATGAACACATCATGCGGTTCTCTTTTCTGAGCTGCATTGTGTAAACACAGTTGCCCCTTGGCAGTCATCAAATGTAAAAAATAATTGTATGTTTCTGCAATGTTTTATTTATTTATTTTTTGTGACCAGAATCATAGTTCTACTTCATTCTCTCATTCTTGACACAAGGGGGAGGTGGGGCCCTTGTGTAATTTGCAGAGCCCTACTCAAATGGGCGTAGTGAGCGCATAGGGCTTACCAATTCTAGATTTATTGATGTCCATGTTGAAGGCAGTAAGGAAAACCCAGAAACAAAAGAAAAAACTAGACAAAAACCAACAAAGAAACTAAAGGAACTACCTCACAATGTATGCTAAAACAGAACAAAACAGACTCTAAAATGCTACGATTAAACACACAAAATTAGAATCAGCAAATGCATTATAACAATCAACAGCAAACAAAGAACTGGAGAAACACAAGGGGTGTAAAGAGGGGGAGATAAACAAGAAACACCTGGGAACAATTACAGGGTGAGGCAACAGACACAGGTGAGGGGCATGGCAAAGGGGCGGAACAAGGAAGGAACAGGAAAAGCAACACAAAAACAGAAGCACATGTCCAGAGACATGAGGGAAGGTAAACAAAAGGGAAAAACAGACAAAGACAAGGACAAGGCAAGACAGGATGTTACAGACAGACCACTCAAAGTCAGATCAGTAGGAATCCTGTAGTCAGAAACTGACCAATGATGAAGAGGGTAGAGGGTGGCTATTAAACAGACGACAACAGATGGGCAACAGTCTCTAACTGGACACTGAAGGAGAGGCTATAGGGAGTCAGACTTAAGCATTTTAGACAACACACAGGCAACTTCCAGCAATAAAAAGTTGCCGTAAAGTTATTAGACAGCACCCTGGTGGCCGCAGGTCCCTAAGCAGCCGCTTGTGTCTCTTATTAGGTAGAATCATCTCTATTTCTGGCTGTGTAAACAATCCATAAGACTGCAGAAAGAAGAAGAATTTCACACGATGACACATCTACAGAAGAACCAGGCAGGTGCTCATAAATATTCATCGATCGCATGGGATCTAATCAGTACAAGCTAAGTGCACGTTACTCCCAACCCTGGACAGGATGTCGAGTATGACAGCTCATGAATATTCAAAACGAATGTTCACACATATAGACGTGAGTTCACCGAACGTGAGGCAGATCTGACGGAAAAGGACGGAGGAATGCTGCGAGGTTTAGAGATGAAGAGGAGGCAGATTAAAGTGAGAGGTCTGCAGTGACTCAGGGCTGCTAACTTTATGAATATTCACCACAGATTTTGCACTCACCTAGCAGCAGGAACTTGCGTGAGTCTCCATAGAGCTGGAGCAGGTCTGAGCAGAACTGATGTATGGGAGCGCCCACGCGGTACTCCCTCAGCAAGAGAGCGAACTGCTGGATCTCCTGAGGGGTCAGCTTACTCCGCAACTGAGCACAAACAGGACCACACCAAACAAATACACAGATCAGACATAACATTATGACCATCTCCTTGTTTCTATGTTCATTGTCCATTTTATCAGCTGCACTTACTATATAGGTGCACTTTGTAGTTCTACAGTTACAGACTGTAGTCCATCTGTTTCTCTGCATACTTTGTTAGCCCCCTTTTACCCTGTTCTTCAGTGGTCAGGACCCCCATAGACCCTCACAGAGCATTTGGGTGGAGGATCATTCTCAGCAGTGCAGTAACACTGACGTGGTGGTGGTGTGTTAGTGTGTGTTGCACTGGTCTGAGTGGATCAGACACAGCAGTGCTGCTGGAGTTTTTAAACACCTCAGTGTCACTGCTGGACTGAGACTAGTCCACCAACCAAAAATATCCGGCCAACAGCGTCCTGTGACCACTGATGAAGGACTAGAGGATGACCAACACAAACTGTGCAGCAACAGATGAGCTTTACATCTACAAGGTGGACCGACAAGGTAGGAGTGTCTAATAGAGTGGACAGTGAGTGGACACTGTGTTTAAAAACTCCAGCAGCACTGCTGTGTCTGATCCACTCATACCAGCACAACACACATTAACACACCACCACCATGTCAGTGTTACTGCAGTGCTGAGAATGACCCACCACCCAAATAGTACCTGCTCTGTGAGGGTCCATGGGGGTCCTGACCACTGAAGAACAGGGTAAAAGGGGGCTAACAAAGTATGCAGAGAAACAGATGGACTACAGTCTGTAACTGTAGAACTACAAAGTGCACCTATATAGTAAGTGGAGCTGATAAAATGGACAATGAGCATAGAAACAAGGAGGTGGTCATAATGTTAGGCCTAATCGGTGTATACAAAGCACTACAGAGTGGCTTTAAAGCCAAAATTGTGTGGAAACATGGTTTACAGAACCTCTCAAGCCTCAAATAGTTAAACACATTGGGATGATACAATAAATTTGGCCCGAAAAGGAAAGTATTAAAGGACACATTTAAAGGAAGACTGAAGTTTGATGTACTATATACACTCCACTCCCCCGTCCAAAAAGTGCTTAGTTTCCGTATAAGTTGCAAAAACAGCTTATTTTGAATTGATCATAGCTGTGATGTCACTACCATGAACACATTTACATAGTATTAAACTTTGTGCTGTTTCCAGCTGTTGAAAAACAAAAGAAAATACACACTATATTGCCAAAAGTATGTGGACACCTCACCATCACACCTATATGAGCTTGTTGGACATCCTATTCCAAAATCATGGACATTAATAAGAACTGGCAGCTATAACGGCCTCCAGTCTTCTGGGGAAGCTTTCCATAATATTTTGCAGTGTCTCTGTGGGAATTTGTAGTGTTCCCCAAACCTGGATTCGCCTGTCAAACTGCCAGATAGTGAAGTGTGATTCATCACTGCAGAGAACGTTTCCACAGCTCCACTCTAGCCAACGCTCGGCATTGTGCATAGAGATCTTGGGCTCGTGTGCCATGGAAACCCATTTCATGAAGCTCCAGATGCACAGTTCTTGTGGTGATGTTGCTTCATGATGCAGTTTGAAACTCTGTAGTGAGTGACTCAACAGAGGATAAGCAATTTTTATGTGCTACAAACTTCAGCACTCGGCAACCCCGCTGTGTGAGTTTGCGTGGTCTACCGCTTCCTGGCTGAGCTGTTGTTGCTTCTAGACATTTCCTTTTAACAATAATAGCACTTACAGTTGACGGGGGCAGATCTAGCAGGGCAGAAATTTCACCAATTGACTTGTGGCAAAGATGGCATTCTATGACAGTGCCACGTTTAAAGTCCTAGAGCTCTTCGGTTTGACCCTTTCTACTTCCATTGTTGGTCTATGGAAATTGCATTGCTATATGCTTGATTTTATACACCTGTTAGCAATGAGTGTTCACATACTTTTGACCATATTGTGTATTATTGCAGCCTTCCAAATGATTAGGACATCTGAATTCAGGATTTGAGTCAACTTGAACTCAAAATGTGTCTTTTTTACATTGTTATTTTCATATTTGGCATAATTCACTTTGTAAAAGATAAAATTCTTGTTTTCTCATCATCTTTAATGAAAATGTAGTGACTCTGATTTTTGCTATGTTGCTAGAACCTGCCATGCAGGCAGAAAAAATACCATATTTTATGCAACCAATAATATTGTGTTTCACATCCTTCTGCCACCACTTATCAGTGAGCAAAATGCTCAGCTAGCTCAAAAAACCCTCCCTGATCCCAGGGCACACCTATTTTACACAAGGGGCCATTCACTGAGGCTAACTGGCTAATCGGTCAGTCATGCAAACTTGTCAATGCAAACCAATTTTGAAATGTTTGAACATAATGTACAAAAAATTTGCTCTGTCTAGTTAAAGCTACATTTTTGTTGGTGTTGTTAGCCATGTAGCCTTCAGCATGCTAAGTTGTATCAGTAGTTATTTATAATAGATGGAGTAGTTTGCAATCTAAAGCCCAGCAAACAGAAATGTTATGGTTTTGAAATATCAAACATTTTAACCTTTTTCAACTCCTTGAGACCACCGATGGTTCCAAAATGCACTTCATCATATTCTTCATAACTTTCATATTTCATAAGCTACATTCAAAAGGTGGGGGTCGTATGAGAGCTGTAACTGTCTTCTTTCCAGTCAGATAGATGGTTGATGTAATTTTAAACCCTTATAATAAAAGAAGCTGAACTCAATTTTTTTTCTACTGAAAGTCGACCCATTTTTCCACAAATCTGGGCTATAAACTGTAAACAGATGGCGTCTCTTCAGTGATCTGCTCTGTAAATTTTTTTTATAAACAAATACAAAGAGCGTCTAAGATTTCTGGCTTTCAGCAGTAAATTGTAAGCATATAGCATTATGTGTATGATCAGAAAACACGTGTTCTGTTCTGTTTGAGGGGAACTTTTACAAAAAATAAATAAATAAATAAATAAAATAAAAACAGTTATTTCATGCAGTTACTGAATAATTTGCCTTGTGATTTGGTCATGTAAATTCAGATGGAAAAACCAAAATATACCCTGGTCAATAAAAGTTTACTGTGATGGCATATAAACAGCTTTGTTTGCCATTATTTCTGGGTTTGAATTGAAAAATGTGTCAGTTCGCAATGATTTCTGGGCAAATTCTGCTGTCAAATCAACACTTCACTTAATCCCTCGCCTCGCTCATCTAACACACTTCACTCAAACTAATAAAGTAATGGCAAGGCCCTTAAGACGGTATTGGGGAAACTCCCAGAGGGGCCGTGATGAGGCCAAGTGGACAAGGACATGTTAAAACCAGTACTAAAAGGGTGAGGTGTTTCAATCAGCAGTGTGTCATGTTCTGATTTACTGTTCCCACTGACTTTAACTTGCTCCATCTATACTACCAGCCTGGATTGCTTTTTAAATGAGGCACAATACAGGGCAGCCAATCAGAACTGAGCTCATTTACTATCAGTCTTAAAGCCATAGTAACAAAAACAGCCTGTTTAATTCTAAAGGATAAATAGAGGTTACAAAATAGCCATGCTGATGATTTTGGCACATAAAATTGGACAAAAATAATAAAGATAAAACAAATGGAGAGTATGAGCATTTAAACAAAAGTGTCTTTGTGTGTATGTGTGTGTTCATCTCACCGTAATCATATACTCCTGCATGAGCTGCAGGCTGGCGTTACTGGGCTCTGAGTCGCTGTGTATGGACGCCAGGCTGCGATGGGAGTCCTGATAGGAGAGAGAGGAGTTGTCGCTGTAGTTCTCACTGTAGTAGGGCTCGAAGGTGTCCTGAGAGCCATCGCTATGGAAAAAAGAAACACATGCAAGCAAAGCTGAAACATTATCAAGGGATCTTATCAGACTCTGACCTATACACAAGGGTGCCATTAGAAATCTGAGGATAGCCTGCATGCATAAACAAACGCCAACATGTTTGTCCATTCCATTGTGGGTAGGTACAACACTATTGTCCTAGGTGTTTTTCTATTAACCATTACTGCAGCTAAACAGTGCTTGACCGAAGTATAAAGTATTGAAGTATAAACAGTGGACGAACTGTAAAAAAGGTCAAGTGGGATGGTGAGTTCAAACAACCGAGTGGAAGTACAGGTGGGTGTGATTTTTGTCTTTTTTAAAGGAGGGTGATGGCTTCCCCTTACATCTCCCCTCAAAATGAGCAAAACTACTTTATGCAAATTTACGCTAACCTACCTACCTACCTACCTACCCACCTACCTACCTACCCACCTACCTACCTTCCCACCCACGTTCCTACCTACCTACCTACCTACCTTCATACCCACCTACCTACCCACCTACCTACCGACCTACCTACCCACCTACCTACCTACCTACCTACCCACCTACCCACCTACCTACCGACCTACCTACCCACCTACCTACCTTGCCACCTACCTACCCACCTACCTACCTACTCACCTACCTTCCTACCCACCTACCTACCTACTCACCTACCTTCCTACCCACCTACCTACCTACTCACCTACCTACCTACCCACCTACCTACCTACCTTCCTACCCACCTACCTACCTACCTACCCACCTACCTTCCTTGCCACCTACCTACCCACCTACCTACCTACCTACCTACCTACCTTCCTACCCACCTACCTACCTACCTACCCACCTACCTTCCTTCCCACCTACCTACCTACCTACCCACCTACCTTCCTACCCACCTACCTACCTACCTACCTACACACCTACCTACCTTCCTACCCACCTACCTTCCTTCCCACCTACCTACCTTCCTTCCCACCTACCTACCTACCTACCCACCTACCTTCCTACCCACCTACCTACCTACCTTCCTACCCACCTACCTTCCTTCCCAAATACCTACCTACCTACGTACCCACCTACCTACCTACCTTCCAACCTAGCCACCTACCTACCTACCCACCTACCTTCCTACACACCTACCTACCTACCTACCTACCTACCTACTTACCTACCTACCTTCCTACCCACCTACCTACCTACCCACCTACCTTCCTACCTACCCACCTACCTACCTACACATCTACCTACCTTCCTACCTTTAATTTAATCATTTAATATCATTCTATCTATATATCATTTAAACCTGGCAGCTGCTATTTACATTGTGTGAATGCTTTATGATGAAAGAACCAATAGAAATATTTCAAAATCACTTGGAATAAAATCTCTTTGCCTTAACTTACATTAAAAGTTACCGTTGTAAAGTTATCATTTTGGGAAAACACGTTTTTCTTTGGAAAGTGATGATATTTTTATCATTTCATACATTTTTCTGCTGGCATACTGTTTTTATTATTGAAAAGACTGATTCCAAACATTTGAACGTTAGTGTAACTGAAAGGAAACTTGGTTTAACTTTAGGTTTTTGCAAATTATGATGGTGGAAAAATTCACTTTGAGTACCAGCACTACGTCTTCCTGATAGATATTCTTTGTTTTCTAATGCTTGGCAGCAACAAACTGAGTAAAAGTACAAACACACACATACAAGTCAGTGGAGCATGGTCTGGATATGCCTGTCACTCACTATGAGCTGCAGCAGCTGAAGTCTGTATCATATCCGTACGTCATGTCTGTCAGGCAGCTGTCACCTTGGAAACACAAAGAGACGAGCGATCAGGAAGATGGAAAATCTGCACATTAAACATTACGTGATCATTTCCTTCCTTCTCCTGAGCCTCAACTGATTATATGCTTGTGAGCACATGATACAATGATAAATAATGAAGCCACTCTTGTGGGCCTAATTATAGAAAAAAGTGTTGAGACAGCGTAGAGGTGGCGGGGGGCTCAGATCGTGGTGTGATCAACAGAATGGAACTTGATCCCATTTAGATACTAAAAACATCAAATAAATAATAAATTAAATTAATAGTCATGGTTCTAAAATGTGAACAGCTAAAGCATGATTGAAGCTACTGTAAGATGCTTGATCTCATAATGTATGTAGCATCCTCACCAATCACGAGGCTGATTTCTCTCTTCCTCAGTTTGATTCGAAGGAACATACCTAAGTGTTAGCTAAAGCTAACAATGAGTAAAAGCTAACCTAGCAAGCCTAACTGAGCTATCAACCTGGCTCATCTGGCCTTTAGGTCACGCCAACATTTCCTGGAAGCACATCCAGCAGTAAAGTGAATAAGAAGTTCACCTTCTTTAGAACATCGCTATATAAAAGCTGGGTAATGTTTTAGCGAGCCTTGAAAACAGAATGGTCTACAACACTGCCTGCATGTGTAGAGCCTGCACTGAGTGGCTTATTGCTAAAGGCGTAAACAAAATATTAGTTGCCTTTTTAAACAACAAGAAATCAGAACAACAAGGAATCAAAGCATTACATCAAAACTAAGAGGTGGAAATTAAAATAATAAAATATTTGGAACAAAAATCTGCTGATTCCAATCCGCCAGCTCTGATTGGCCAGTCAGATTAACTTATTAGTTTATCACAACAATGTTGTGTATTTTAACAATAGGTAACACTCTAGAGAAGGTCTAACAATAACAAAAAAAAAAGTTTAACTTAATCACTGTACTGGTATTGAACCTCTGCAAGCACTGTAGTACTACTCTTATTTGGCTGTTAAGTTTTGATCGGAACCAAAGGATTAAATTCTTGAAACAGCCAACAGAAAGTTGTTCAATCAGGATTTTTTTCTCTGTGGTATCTAGGTAGATACAGCTAAGCAAGCCTCTCTATTGGTTAAGACCACAGGAGCTGAACTCAAGGCCTTACCCACTTCGACTCACCACTCGGGTGTGCAGATGGCCACTCAGGGCAGAAGTGGAGGAGAGGACAGCGAGGAATGCACTCACTCTCAACAGGTTAGCCTCAGTGAGCTAATCGGCTAGCCTTTCAAACAAGACCTTTTTTTAAAGAAGCTTTAGCGTAGCTAGTTTTTAATCTCCTCAAACAGATTTTAAATGCTCAGAGACTTTTATTTTGAAAAAACAAACTAAGACAAATATTACAAACAACTGAGAGAAAAAAAAAAATGACTAGGTCTAACGTAAAATGATTTTAAAGAAAAACACTGAGCTGGATTAAAATCGTTTACTAATCTAATTTATTAAGTATAACTAAAGAAAGGAGGGAGGGAAAAATGAATAAATTGGACTGTGAGTGGAAAATGAGCGACGATAAGTGGAATTTTGTCTAACCAAAAAAACACTGAGCAGAACGCCAGTGGACCGCCAGCAGTGGGCCACGACCCTACTGCTATCATGGCCAGCACATCGAATGTTATGATATTTTTAAATGTTAAGCATTTTAAAGTAGTTTACAATGAATTCTAGGCAAGTTCTGATGAAGTCGACACTGGTGTTCTCTCCATCCTTCGCCCCTCTGAGGGCTCATCTAACACCCTTCACCTGAGCTAATAAAGTGATGCAGTAGCCCTTGGGATGGTGATGGTGATTCCACTGAGGGCAACTGATCGGGTTAAGTGGACGAAGCCTTGTTAAAACCGGTATTGAAATGGTGGGCTAATGTGTCAGATTAACGGCTAACAAAATTGACAGTAGAATTAACCAATCACATATTGATTTACAATGAGTGGGAATAAATTTATGAGAAAAAGCCTACTCTAGGCCTTCTGGAAGTCTGAGATACATCACTGACCATATCAGTGGACCGTATCACTGACCAGTGCGTTTCAGTCAGTTGCTAGAAATGTAAAACAGCAGCAGCTCCATGTCAGAGCTGTTTACTAAATGAGTCACTTTAAAACTGCAACATAGAAGGAAAAATATATGCTAATATCTGTAACCAGCTTGAAATATAATATATGGAATTATTTTTTCTTCTGTGTTTAATCTAGAATGCCCAAAGAAACTTCATGCAAATCGTTGTTAGCTTAGCATTAGCAGAAATTTGCACCGTTTCATCGTTTACCGTTCACCACTGATTTCTAGGGCCATTTCAGCTCAAGCACTCACTTCTCTGTAGCCAGTAGTGGTCAGGCATGGTGTAGTGATATCCCGCTCTGTCCACACACTCGATGGTCTGGTGTCCGTAGATGATTTGAAACATCTGACAGATGAGGGCACAGTACTCTTCCGCAGCATCCTGTGTGTTTGAGTGTGTTCGTGGGTTTTAATGTGGAGAGAAGGATATTATTAGAAGATCAATAGGAGATCTAGTTAAAAAACACAAACACACACGGCTTTTACACACATTTACAGTCAGATTGAAATCTAGGTCAGCACAATACCGTTTATATCATTTCATTGACTGCTGTCTCTGATTCTCTCTCTCCTGTTTTCTGTGTGGGTCTCTCTCTCTCTCTCACTCTCTCACTCAGATCCCTGACACAGCACAGCGTTACGTAAGCCTCAGTATTACATCACAGCGGGAGTCCACTCTGAGTGCGCTGTTTACATCACTGCTGTCACAACTCGACTCGTCACCACCGTTACTGCAGAGCGAAAGAAGGTAGTGAGAGAGAGAGAGAGAGAGAGAGAGAGAAAGGCTGCAAGCTCTCTTCCCCATCATCTCCACTCTCGCAGACTGCACTGGATTACACTGCGTAACCACAGGATTAGGACATTTCTATACTCCTCCATATGGAGTGCTGTGATCTGGACTGGTTGTAGGAGGTTTTAAGGTTACCAGGTTTAACCTATTATGTAAAACATCTACATTTCTGTCCTTCAGTCCATCCAACCAGCCAAACGTCCAACTGTGTCCACCAAACCATGTGTCCATCTGACAATCAGTCCTTCTGCCCTCCTCTCTATTCATTCATCTCTTCATTTGTCTGTTTGTACATCCTTCCACCATCCATCCTTCTGCTTGTCCATTCATCTGTCTGTCTATAAATAAATACTTCCATCCGTTCATCATACATCTTTCTCTCCATCTGTTTATCCATCCAACTATTCATCTGTCTGTCTATTAATAAATCCTTCCATCCTTTTATCATCCATCTTTCTCTCTCTCTTCATCCAGTCAACTATTCATCTGTCTGTCTACACATCCATCTTCTTTATCCATCTCTTTAGATAGGCATCCATCTATTCCTCCATTCCTCCAGCCATTTGTGTGCATCCACCCATCCATCCATCCATCCATCCATCCATTCATCCATCCAGCTTTCTCTCTATCTATTCATCTACCCATTTTCACCTCTGTCTACACAACCATCTTCTTTATCAGTCTATGTCAATGTATCCATATATTCCTCCATCCATCCAGCCATTTGTATGTTCACCCATCAATCCATCCATCCATCCATCCATCCATCTATCTGTCTATGCATCCATTTACTCTTGAGTTCATCTATCCATCTATCCTCTTCGCTATCAATCAGCCATCTGGCCATTTGTCTGTCTATACATCCATCCGTTTGTCTATGCCTCCATCTATTCATCCATCTATCCACACATAGTATTTCTAAAAATGTATTTATCCGTCTGTCCGTCTACCTGTGCCTCCTTCTTTCTCTCTTTCTGTTCATCTGCATGTCTATCTCTCTCTTTTTTTACCTATCTATCCATAAATCTATCTTTGTTTCTATCCATTCATCTATCTGCCTGTTCATGAGTCTGTCTCTGAATCCATCCATCCATCCATCCATCCATCCATCCACACATGTTCATTTCTAACCATCCATCTACCTGTCTGTCCTTCTGCCTGTCTATACATCCATCCTTCCAACCTTCCATCTTTTTCTCTTTCCATTCATCTTTCTATTTTTCATTCATTCATCCATCCATCAATCCATCTTTGCTTCTATCTAATCATCTACCTGCTTGGCCTTGTCTCTGTTTACGCATCCATGCATCCATCCATCTTTCTCTCTCACCATTCATCATCTGTCTGTCTTTTGTCCATCCATACATCCATCCATCCATCCATTCATCATGTAATTTCATTTCTTCCCTTTCGTTCTCTCACCCGGTTCTCCACGGCCAGCACGACCAGGTTGCAGTAAGCGTCAGGGCATGGTGTGGGCTCCAGTGGGTTGTGGTTTCTTCTCTCCCAGCTGCCATAAGCCTTGCCCCTCTCCCAGCTTCCCATGCAGGCATGCCTGCGCTCCCAGCTGCCCCCCTGCCCGTGCTTCCTCTCCCAGCTTCCTCCTGCTTTGCCCCCAGGTCCATGTCTCTTCTCCCAACTACCCCCCACCCCTCCTCCTCCACCTCCCCCTGCAGGACCACGGCGCTCCCAGCTGCCCCCAACAGGCCTCCTCTCCCAGCTCCCGCTCATGGTTCTCTTCTCCCAGCTCCCTCCGCACGGCTTCCGGGTCTGCCGCCTCTCCCAACTTCCTCCCACCTGCCTCCGCTCCAGACTGCCACCTCCGCCACTGCCCCCTCCTCCTGCTGATCCTGGTCCACCCGCGCTGGTGCCACTCTGCTTTGACTCATGGCGAGAGGATGGCTTCCAGTCCACGCCACAGATGGTATGACGCCTCTCCATGGTGCCCCCTGCAGGCCGAGGGTCAGCATTGCTCATGGTTTGTCTGCGGCCCTCGAGGCCAGTAGGCCGTTTTTCCAGGGATCCACCAGCTAGAACAGTGTCCACATTCAAACCTGGGAGATATATAAATAAAAGAAGTCAAAGACAATTAATATAGCTGAATGAGAGTGTCCAGATATGAATACATCCAACATAGTGCATTATTTTTATTATTATAATTGCATATATGGAAATGTGTACAACTGTATATATCAAAGCCTTTATGTTTTTTATTTCATAACTTATAGTACTTTACAAAAACTGTACATTGGAATGGTGCAGTACTGTGTGCATACAAATGTGTATATTGTGTATATGTGTATATATTTCGAGTCTAATGTGTGTGTGTGTGTATATATATATATATATATATATAGTATATTTAAGCACTACAAGAAGGCTACTCACCTAAGGTTTTTGTACTTGCAGTACTCAAAACTTTGGCATATTAACATTCAGGCTTCAAGTTGGCTGCTATTGCCGTTTTTAGCTATGCTACATCCAGCAGGTATACAAGGTAATGGAAACACCACATGAAATATTGACACTCATTGGCCATTTTATCAGAAACTCCTACCATATATGTTAAGTTAAGTGAAGTTACCCTTATTACTCCCACAATGGGGGAATTCACTTCCGCATTTAACCCATCCGTGCAGTGAAACACCCATATACACACTAGTGAATGCACACACACTAGGGGGCAGTGAGCACACTTGCCCAAAGCGGTGGGCAGCCCTATCCACAGTGCCCGGGGAGCAGTTAGGGGTTAGGTGCTGTGCTCAAGAGCACTTCAGTCAGGCACTGTCGGCTTAGGGGATCGAACCGGCGAATCTCCAGCCCATGACTGCCCCCAACATGCGTGTGCACTCTGTAGGTTTACTGTTTCTGACTGTAGCCCATCTGTTGCTATGTACAAATGTTGCACCTAAATAATATCTGGTCATTGTGTGGTATGGTGGTCTTTTTCCATTGATGTACAAGGTAGAGGGGGTGCTGATAAATTTTGAAGCAACAGATGGGCTACAGTAAGTAACTGTAAACCTATAAAGTCCACCTAAACAGTATGTCTTTCTGATAAAATGGCCATGGAGCCAACTTTCTATTATTTTGTACACCTACTGTACATTTGTCCATTTTTTATAGATAAATGTTTTAACATGACAGACATGCACGTCAGCAGGCATGGCTTGAGGCAAGTGATGATTTATGCATTCAGTTTGCACAATGCTAATTGGTCAGGATTACACTTCTATTATTTTCTTAGCTATAGAACTAAACTAAGCAATCTTCAGGCATCAGATATGACCAGCTACATTTGGGAAAACTGTACAAATCTGATTTAAAAGCTTTGAATTTCTGTTCACTTATTCAGTTGCCAAAATATGACAGAATATCTGATTCAAATTCATATATATGTAAAGTGCAGTGCAACTTGATCAGGCTGGGCATGTTGAGAGGACTCTGATTGCTGCTCACCTGTTTTGAGCACCAGCAGGTGCAGTGCGTCGTCCCGCAGGTAGGAGGCAGCAGCGATCTCATGCGTGGGGATGCGCAGCAGCAGTTTCTCATTGTCTCTCCAGGTGAGCAGCAGGCAGCGCGCAGACAGACTGAGGATACAGTCCTGCTCCACACTCGTCTGCAGAGGCAGCACCTTCAGCTTCTGCAAGAAAGAGAGAGATAGAATGAAGGAGTGAACCTAGAAGGTCTGGTATGGATTACAGCTGTCACTGTAATGTCATCACTTCCCTGAGAATTGGTAGCTAGCAGTGAAATGAAAGTGTTCTCACCCTGGCAATGTCAAGCAGCTGCAGCAGTTCATCCCTGCTGGAGGGATTGAGGGAGCACGACACCCACGTCAGATGACCCAGGAACTGGGAGTTGCATCAGAGTTATGTGAGTCATTAGTCGTGGACAGTGACATGTATACTTACACGTGCAGAATCTGAACATTTTATAAACTTAACAAATATTTGGTTAATATTTTAAATGGAAACTGAGTCTAAATCCTAATTGGACTTGCCATGTTAAGGTAACACTACTCTTTATGTACAGTATCCTTGAGGCGAAGCTTTAGCATAGCTGTAAAACCAATACAAACATTCAAAAGGTGCTATCACAGCTAGGGATACACGACGATAATAGAATCATATTGGCATTGCGGCATCATACAGATGCCTAAATTTGGCCAATATTTCAAACAGATATTTGATGATGTATTTATTATACTCCACAAGAATAGAATGTTTACGTAATGCTGGGCTACAAAGAGCTAAAACGTAACCACATAAAAATAAATGTTATCTTTCTAAAATGCTAGTCCATGTAGATCTAGTCCCAGTTTATACATTTTATGAAATGTTTATCATCAGACATGTACATGAAAAGCATTAATTATCAGCCATGGCCCAGAATTTCCATATTGGTGCATCCCTATTTACTAACAGACTTTATGCTAAGGCAGAAAAACTACACTATGTAAGTTTTGGGATTTGGAGCCCTCTCTGGTGGAAAGGTGTAATTGCATGCAGGAGGAATTTAGAGTGGAGGAACATTTTGTAACATTAGTTGTGGATTTGGACACCCTTCCCCAAGCATATGAATCTGGTGACTGCAAACGCGTTGAAAGAGTATTCAAAGAGAGCAACATGCATGTAATGTTGATTTTGTATCGAGACCAAAACATTGAGCTGGACCTTCTTTATGAGGCTGTGCATGTGACATTAATACACAAAGATGTATGAAAAACTCCCATTAAATCCGACTCGAGGCTGCTGACTTTTAAAGTATTATTTCAGGCTATACAGACTGACTCGCAGCAGCACACACCATATTTCGGCATGTTTTTTTTTCCTCCTGACTCAGTAATGCTACTTATCTCAATTTTAGAGGGGACCAATTGTGCTTTTTTTATGCTGTTTTTCATAATTGCTGTAATGCTGTAAGTTCATAATTTTATTTTTGGGGTCTACTAGAATAGATTTACACGATTTAATGTATCAAAAACACACAATTTTTTCTCATACTGTACATTTCTATTCACACTCTGTCTGAAACGCTCTGTCAGAGCTCCTGTGTCTTTAAGCCCCACCTCCTGATAAGCCCAGTGTGCTCTGAATGGTCAGCTTGTCCACTCTGTTCTGATTGGTTAAAGGCCAGAACCATTCTGCCCGTACATGTTCTGCCCCTGTCTTGCAGTCTGCAAAAAGACCATTCGCTCCTAAGCAGCTGTAAACACTGCTGTGGCTATTTATTCAGTGGCATCTATTCGGCCATATCAGTTTGAGCCAGAGTCCGATCCTGAAAGTCAGGTCAGCATCCTTTCGACATGGCTACAAAACTGAATGAACTTATCCTGGCCTGCAGTAGTTGCTGTGCATTGTGTGAGGGCGTGCCAAGCTTGCAGGTAGCTGGGCAATAGGGATTGCATCATCTTGTAATAAAGGAAAAGGGCTGGAATTCCAAGGAGGTGTTTCAGGAAGCTGAGAAAAGTGGTTTCCGTGGGAAAGAGTTACTCGCTCTGGCGTCTACTTTGAGCTTTGTAATTTTGCAGACCGTTTACATACACAAAAGCTACCACACTCTAAAGCAGAGGTCGGCAACCCAAATGTTAATAAGAGACATTTTGTCCTTTTAACGAAAATCAAACCATGCTGAGAGTCACTTTGAGTCCGTTTTATCATCTTGTCTGTAAATATGTCTCAGTGTGTGCTAAGGTCCTAGTATAGGCTAACAATATAAATGAAAACGCAGACTTACTTTGCTCTGCTTTAAGCTTTAGCTCCAGCAGGAAACTTTTCCTCAAAAGCAAAACAGTTTCTTGTACAATGTCTCTTAACATTAAATTTTTTATGAGGCTGAAGTTGCTTCTCTTTCGCCAGCTTTTTGTTCAAATTTTCCTGTTCTGCCTTAAATGGTGCCTGAGGCGCCATAATGTAACTGCTACGCCATTTAAGGTGGAATGGGAAAATTGGAGCAAGAAGCTGGCAAATGAGCTGCTGACTACAGCTTCATGACTTTTTAGAGTTTGTCAGTTTCTCATTGCAGATTAAACGTATCCAGAAACCAGCTGGAGTGATTATAAATGCAAATAAGTCCATTCGTCTCAAAATTATCGATGTTCGTCTTAAATCTTAAAGCCTTTTCATTAGCTACTAGCTAGGCAAGATTGTTTCTGTGGCTATTGTGACCAGCAGTCTGCGTGCCAACCTTCAGGGTTAAAGGTCAGTGAATTAGAATTATACATTAACTCCAACATTTAAACCATTTATTGTTAAACTGTGTTGAACGATCAGAAGAGCTTTATTTTACCTCAAAGGAGGATTATTTTATTTTTTACCTAAAAATCTAATTCTATTGTGGAGACACAACAGGGCAGTAAAAGAGTCGCATGCGGTTCTGGAGCAGACCCGGAGAAAAACCGGAAAAGAGTAATTGGTCCCCTTTCACAAAAAAGTCTTACATAGTGTAGCTTTAGTGATAAAATGTCAAGGTTGAGGTTGACCACTGTGGACCGTTGAGCAAGGAGAAGCAACCCTCCCTGAAACCCAATGCATAAATCTATGCGAGCTAAATCAAACTGCGCTTAGATTACCGACCAGAATTTACCTCGAATGAGCATTGATTAGGTTGACTTTTCTGTTTCCACAGCAGACCCTGAATTCACCATGCATTCTGTATGTTATGTATGAGCCAGTGCTCAGTGATGTTTAGTGCGTATGAGCTGCTGACCTTGACCTCCTTCTCCACGTAGTCGTAGATGAGGCGCTCGGGGTGGATGAGGAAGTCAGGTGGGTAAAGAGGCACCGTGTGGAGAGGCCTGCGATACACACCGCCTTTGTCTGCCTGCCGCCGAGCTGACTTGGGGAAGACCAGGCGCTTAATTGGTGAAACAAATCCCTTAAGAAAGAATCACAGGAATATGTGAGGGTGTAAGTGGTAAAAAGACAGGCCAGCATTTGTGTCAGTGAAGGAGAATGGCAGAGGAAAATATGTGAGAACAGGAATTCAAAAAACGAGAGAAAATGAGACTCCGAACAATCGTGCAAGACCTGGTAGACACCAAAACTGTCACCATCAGACAAACAGTACTTAAAGCTTTCATCTCTGAGAGAGAGGAGAAAATCAAGCTGCTTCAGATCTGAAAACATCCACAGGTGTTTCTGTCCATCCTTCCACTGTGAGAAGACGACTCAGCGCTATGGGTCTGACAGGATGTGTCAAGACGCTTATTATTGAGAAAATGAAATAGACGAAAAAAGAACATCTGTAAGTGAAACAACGATGCAGCTGATGTTCCTCAGAACAATGGACTGACCAGCCCAGAGTCCAGACCTCAACATTACTGAATGTGTTTGGGATTACGTGAATTGTGAGAAGCAGAAAATCCAACCAACTTCTAAGACTGAACTTCATAGGTGTGGAAAAATATCCCTGCAGATTTCTTTGAAAAACTGAAATCAAGCCTCTTGAAAAGAATGAAAGCTGTAATAAAGGAAAACTGTGGACAAACTAAATACTAAAACATTAAATATTATATTTAGTTGTTGAGTCCTTTGTGTAGTATTGTGTTAAATATGTGTTCTCCACTTTTTTCTGGCACTAAAAAATAAATAGCTCGTACTTAATGGCCGTTTTGTTGGTGTTTGACGTTTGCACATTATTATTCTTGCTCTAAAACTAGTTAGAAGGTCAGACATTTGTAGGTGTATGATGCTATACACCGATCAGGCATAACATTATGACCACCTCCTTGTTTCTACGCTCATTGTCCATTTTATCAGCTCCACTTACTATATAGGTGCACTTTGTAGTTCTACAGTTACAGACTGTAGTCCATCTGTTTCTCTGATACTTTGTTAGCCCCCTTTTACCCTGTTCTTCAGTGGTCAGGACCCCCATGGACCCTCACAGAGCAGGTACTATTTGGGTGGTGGATCATTCTCAGCACTGCAGTAACACTGATGTGGTGGTGGTGTGTTAGCGTGTGTTGCGCTGGTCTGAGTGGATCAGACACAGCAGTGCTGCTGGAGTTTTTAAACACCTCAGTGTCACTGCTGGACTGAGAACAGTCCACCAACCAAAAATATCCAGCCAACAGCGTCCTGTGGGCAGCGTCCTGTGACCACTGATGAAGGACTAGAGGATGACCAACACAAACTGTGCAGCAGCAGATGAGCTATCGTTTTACATCTACGAGGTGGACTGACAAGGTAGGAGTGTCTAACAGAGTGGACAGTAAACGGACACAGTGTTTAAAAACTCCAGCAGCACTGCTGTGTCTGATCCACTCATACCAGCACAACACACACTAACACACCACCACCACGTCAGTGTTACTGCAGTGCTGAGAATGACCCACCACCCAAATAGTACCTGCTCTGTGAGGGTCCATGGGGCTCCTGACCACTGAAGAACAGGGTAAAAGGGGGCTAACAAAGTATGCAGAGAAACAGATGGACTACAGTCTGTAACTGTAGAACTACAAAGTGCACCTATGTAGTAAGTGGAGCTGATAAAATGGACAATGAGCGTAGAAACAAGGAGGTGGTCATAATGCTATGCCTGATTGGTTTATAAGACTATGCCTGAATCTAAAGCATCCTGCGTCTTCAGCTGCTAAAAGAACGTAAGTCTGTTTGGTCAAATTCACTGACGTTCGAAAACAAAGCAATCAGCATGTTAACTCTGCACGATAAGACACATGAGTCAGACACACACCTGGAGTAAAAGCATGTTAGTGCAATAATCAGACATTTAAAAGCTTTGAAGTAGGCCTTGAAACAAGTGTCCTGCTATGAAACCTGAGCTGACACTGATGTATTCAGCGAGGGGGGAAGTATTAGTCATGTAATAAATGTATAAAAATAAATGCTAAACAGATTCCCAGACCGACTCTTCAAGTGATTCAGCATTAGCTTCAGTTTAGCCGCGAGGATGGCCATTAGCTTCCGCTATGCTCCGCTATGCTCGGGTTCACGTAATAGTAAACATCAGCAGAGTGCCTGTAGCCCCCGCTGTGACATCATCAGAGAGACAGCTGTCAGAGAGCAGAGACGTCTCCTGCCGAGCGGCACAGATCAGATAACACATGCCCCATTAGCGACCTGCTGATTTACATGTGTATATAAGCGTGTGTGTGTGTGTGTGTGTGTGTAGGTGTGTGTGTGTGTGTGTGTGTGTGCTCACAGTTATGTGTGAAGTAGTTAATCAACTGGACGGAGTGTTTTGGTGTGTATGTCAAACTTTTGCATACAACTTGTTTTTTTGCATCAACTTTTTTTTGCTTTTGTGTGTGTCACACAAATACACTGACCAGCAAATATAAATTTCGACCAGAAAAATGTTTTGGTCAGAATTGGTTAAAAAATAGTACGTCTGGTTTCGGCCACTAATGAAAAACGATCGTTTTGACTGAAAATAACAAAGATTGGTAACACTATGCCCGGTTACATATCCCTGATTGATTCCAAGTTGGTCTGTGCTGGTTTATGCTGGTCTGGTGCTGGTTTAGCTGGTCACACAGGATGGTCATACTGGTTGTCCAGCATACCAGTATCCAAAACACAATGGATGCTGGTTTTGGTGGTGATCAGCATATCAGCGTTCATAAAACAACATGCGCTGCTTTTGGAGCAAAACCTCGTATCTCCAAATAGTAACTTTACAGGGGCAGTTATGGGCTGGAGCAGTCTGGGGCAGTCATGGGCTGGAGCGGTCTGGGGCAGTCGTGGACTGGAGCGGTCTGGGGCAGTCATGGACTGGAGCAGTCTGGGGAAGTCATGGACTGGAGCGGTCTGGGGCAGTCATGGGCTGGAGCGGTCTGAGGCAGTCATGGGCTGGAGCGGTCTGGGGCAGTCATGGGCTGGAGCAGTCTGGGGCAGTCGTGGGCTGGAGCGGTCTGGGGCAGTTATGAGCTGGAGCAGTCTGGGGCAGTCATGGGCTGGAGCAGTCTGGGGCAGTTATGAACTGGAGCGGTCTGGGCCAGTCATGGGCTGGAGCAGTCTGGGGCAGTCGTGTGCTGGAGGTTAGGGAACCAGCCTTGTGACTGGAAGGTCGCTGGTTCGATCTTGAGCCGACAGTACGTGACTGAAGTGCCCTTGTGCAAGGCACCTCACCCCCAACTGCTCCTCAGGTGCCGTGGATAGGGCTGCCCACCGCTCTGGACGGGTGTGCTCACTGCCCCTAGCGTAAGCGTTCACTAGCATGTATGTGGTGTTTGACTGCACAGGTGGGCTAAAATGTGGAGGTGAAATTTCCCAGACTAATAAAGGGTTGCCACTGGTGTTCTGGGCCCCTCATCCAAACTTGGTCCGGACATGCCACTAAGTAAGACACCCAAGAATGTCTACACTTCAGAGAGACAACATCTTGCTCAGTATGCAGAATACAGCGAAACAACACAAGCAGAAAGTCACAGCTAGCGTGAAGATGCCATCTGTCACCTTTTATGAAATAATAAAAATGAACCATAGACAGTCCTAAAGTACAAAGGATAACAAAAAATAATAGAACTCATTGCCGTATATGAACTGTTCTGTTTTGTTGTGGACGCTGGGCTTAGTGGTACATACTGTAGCCTACATACTGTAATCATTTCAGTAAGTTTATTTTATATAAACTGTATATAATTCTTGTCAGCTTTTTTTGCTTTTTGTTTTTTTAGCCAAGAGTTTTCATTTCAGTGCATCACTAGACTGTGTGTGTGTGTGTGTGTGTGTGTGTGTGTGCGTGTGTGTGTGTGTGTGTGTTCTGCAGCACTGCATAAATGATAAATTAGCCCCAGTCTTTTATCATAATCAGAATCCATCCCTCTCATTAAAGGGAAATAAACATTCAATTTGCATATTCAATTAAAACGCTTTGCTCAGAGAAAACTGCAGTGTGAAAATGCAGGAAGGAGGGCAGCTGCTAAAATTAGTGCCGTTTGTTTGAAAATGAAATTGTTCATCTCGGCTTAAAGCGCAGTAACATAAACGCTATCCCTGACAACGTAATTCTTCCTTCTAATCGCAAACCGCTATCGGAAAGTGTTTTAGCACACGCCCCCTGCTTTGATTAGCGCTAAAGGAGATGGAGGACACTGCGCTCAGCCTGTGTGATGTTTAAGTTGCAGAGCTTCTTGTGTGTATGTGTGTGGCAGGAAGGTTCTGCTTCCTTAGAATATGCAACAGTCCTGTAAAACCAAAGCATAATCAAAGAAAATTTAAAGCTCTATGTTTTGCCCAAAAAAACATCCACAAACGAGCTCATCCACAAAGCCATTAAAGAGAAGAGAGTCTGACAGAAAGTGGGAGCCTGTCTGTGAATAGAAGATAAGGTAAGGACAGCAGTGGAGCTTGTATACAGAACCAAAGAGGCAAAGTAGTTTAAAGCAGGGCTGCCCAAGGTTGCCCCCCAAGGAGGTTTGATTTGACCCACCAGAAAACTGCCCTGATGCGCTTACCACTTCACCAAATGAAGGAACATATCGCTGCTGTCGGAACAAAACCTTTATCTCTTTTTTTTAGTTTCTGACATAATTTGAAAATGTCTGTTGTCCTTTACATTGTGTGTAAATTTCATGATGAATGGACCAAAAGAAACGGCTCAAAATGACTCGCAAAGACATCTGGTTCCATTGACTTACATTTAAAGTAAAGCATGTTTTTTCCTTCTCCTGTAAAGTCACCATTTTGGAGATACGAGGTTTTCTCTGACAACTGCGATATACTAGTACAGTACACAGTATGTAGTATAGTAGTACGCCATTCCAAACACAGTCAATGCCAACGAAGGAAACAGGAAACTCAAGCTTGCTACTCAAGTAACACATCATCTAGTTAGTTCATCATGTTTGGAGTCTGCTAACTAGCTTTGCAAACTGTTTTTGAGCTAAAAGGTACCAGGGGAAATATATTATGATGTAAGCTGGTGATGTTAGTTGAGTAAAGGGGGAACTGAGATGTGCATGTTTATCTGGGCTTAATTTAATGCAGTAATAGGGAGGTGCTGCGCTCAGAGACATTGAGCAGTGCTGGAAGTCGTTGATTGGCGGTGCGTGCTGACGGCTACTGTGACCACCTTCATTAAAATTATTGGTTGGAGATTTTCGAATGCTGTGCTCCAACAACATACATACATACATACATACATCATCTAAACCGCTTATCCTTCTGGGTCGCGGTGGGGTGCTGGAGCCTATCCCAGCTGTCATTGGGCGGAAGGCAGGATACACCATGGACAGGTCGCCAGTCCATCACAGGGCAGACAGACACAATCACACACACCTAGGGGCAATTTCATCATGTCCAATTAGCCTGACTGCATGTTTTTGGACTGTGGGAGGAAACCAGAGTACCCGGAGGAAACCCACGCAGACACGGGGAGAACATGCAAACTCCACACAGAAATGACCCTGGTCACCCGGCTGGGAATCAAACCCAGGCCCTTCTTGCTGTGAGGCGACAGCGCTACCCACTGCGCCACCACTCCGACAACAGTGAGTTATTTTTCTTTTAACATTGCAGTTAACATTTAGTAACAAGACAAACAACCCTTTGACATCATGCAATCACATTGACCTCGCTGTCACTGTATCAAAGTAATTTATCAAAAAATAACATTTATTACAGAAAACAATGACGTTTTGCACTCATAACTTTATGTGAAACCCACTTAGCTATCTGCTTGCTGTTTTGTCTTTTTGGCACTCGGCACACAAAACACATTACAGTTTGGTCTCCAAACACACCTCTGCTTTAAAAGAATGCACCAGCGCTTTTAGTCTAATCTACAGTACCATGCAAAAGTTAGAGACCACTCTTTCATTTGTTTCTTTTAACAGAAAATTACTGACACCTTAACAGCTAATTATAATAACTATATATGTATATATTGCTGCTGTCGGAAAAAACCTCATATGACCAAAATGATAACTCTACAGGAGAAGGAGAAAACCTACTTTACTTTTAATGTAAGTCAATGGAACCAGAGTTTTTTGTCATTTTGGGACGTTTGTTTTGGTCCATTCTTCATGAAATTTACACACAATGTAAAGAGCAACAGGCATTTTCAGACTATGTAAAATACTGAAAAACAACAAAAATTGTAATACAAGGTTATCTTCCAACAGCAGCGATATACCTCTCAATAATATTTAATATGTCCACTCTTCTCCTTTAAAACAGCCTCCGTTCTTTTTCTGAAACCTACTTTCAGTTCAAAGACATCTATGGGATTATGTTTCCACACCTCTAAAGTTCAGTCTTGGAAGTTGGCTGTATTTTCTGCTTCTCACGATCCAAATAACCTCAAACACGTTCAGTGATGTTGAGGTCTGGACTCTGGGCTGGTCAGTCCATTGTTCTGAGAGCACCAGCAGCTTCTTTCTTTGATTTGCTGATTTTCTTCTTTTTTGTCTATTTCCTTTTCTCACTAACAGCTTCTTGACAGCTACACATCCTGTCAGACCCACAGCGCTGAGTCGTCGTCTCACAGTGGAAGGATGGACAGAAACACCTGTGGATGTTTTCAGATCTGAAGCAGCTTGATTTTCTCCTCTCTCTCAGAGATGAAAGCTTTAAGTTCTGTTTATATGATGGTCACACTTTTGGTGTCTACCAGGTCTTGCATGGTTGTTAGGAGTCCCATATTCTTATTGCTTTGACTTTCCCCTTCCTTATGAAAGCACATTTTTTTGCACTGTATATAAGAATTCTACATTGTATCTAATTTATCTACTGAATAAATGAATAACAGTGTGGACAGTGTTTCAAAACCTGCCTTTCGGTTTCCATTATCACATTTTTTTCAAGTAGGTTTTGTTTTATTTTTTTGTCTACGTGCAGAGAAACATCATAAAATTATTAACTGTGATAAGCGATTGTACGTTACAGACGCAGCAGATACAGGTCATGCTGAAAACCTGGACTATTCCTTTAAGTGATGAAGAAATGCCTGGGAACAACCACAGAACGAGCGCCATGCTTGTTCGAAAAGATAAAAACCCTCAGAGTGACTCTACCGGTGAGTCTGAGTGTATCAGGTAAGCTGACCTACCGCATAAAAAGCAACGTGAATCATAAAACCTACAAAACAATGACGCAAGCTGAAGAGGAAATGCATACAGTGGTGAGGTGTGGGATAAGGCTAATCGGACAAACAGACACCTATACACGTGAGACATGTTCACAAACATATTGACACTGTTTATCTACACAGACGAAGATGCAACGAGAACAAATTGGAGCCTAAAATGTTTAAACATTTCCGTCAGTCAAGCGTAGAACATCCAACTCGTTGAATTACTTAATTGAAAAGCGGGCAAATCTTACCTTTTTAACCTTCTTGGGTTCGTAGTCCATGTCAGCCGGTGGTGTGTGTGAGTGTGTTTGTATCTGTGATTGTGTTCAGGCATGTGAGTGTGCGTGTTTGTGTGTGAGCAGGGCTGGCCTGATCTCCTCTCAGCCCCCTGGAGCCAGGCAGGACACCACAGCTAGTGCAGGAAATCAGCTTCCTGTTAGAGAGGAAACTCCACCAGAGAGCCCAATCTAAACTCTCCACCGGCACCTCTAATCTTAGCACTCACAACTCACACACACACACACACACAGCGAGGAGAGTCGAGTGTTCAGGCACTGTTGTTTTTCTTATTGAATATACTCTTTAATATGTATTAAAAATGAACAGGCCGCCCTCCTCGTCGAAAAGGACTTGTAAAGTAAACAGAAAGAGTGTAAAGACACTCATATAATCTGCAATGTATTTATTAAACTCACAGATTGAGCACAGACGTGTTTCAGCACGCGGCCCTCCTCAGCGTGCTAATAGGATTCTAGCCACCAACTTAAATACTGCCACACTAAATACTGCAGTTAAGAAAAAGTTCAGACAGCACTTGTATAATTGCGTCAATGACATCACAAGTGGGTGGTTCATGACCTCGTGATGTCATTGAGGCAATTATACAAGTGCTGTCTGAACTTTTTCTTTGTATTTAATAAACTTGCAGTGCAGATGTTCAAATTAATATATCAAGGCCATAAGATAAGTTTCCTATGGACACCAATTAATATATTAAGATCACAAATGAACATATTGAGGCCACAAGATAAGTTTCTCCTGGCCACTAATTAGTATATTAAGACCCCAAATGAACATATTGAGGCCACAAGATAAGTTTCTCCTGGCCACTAATTACATTTACATTTACATTTACAGCATTTAGCAGATGCTCTTATCCAGAGTGACTTACAAAAAGTGCTTTGTCTATCCAGAGAAAGTATTAGTATACTAAGACCCCAAATTACCATATTGAGGCCACAAGATAAGTTTCTCCTGGCCACTAATTAATATTTTAAGACCCCAAATTAACATATTAAGGCCACAAGTTAAGTTTGTCCTGCTCATTATTAAAATATTAAGACCACAAATGAACATATTGAGGCCACAAATTAAGTTTCTCTTCACTACTAATTAATATATTAAAACCCCAAATTACCATATTGAAGCCACAAGTTTCCTCTGGCCACTGATTAATATATTAAGCCCCCAAATTAACATATTGAGGTGGCAAGTTAAGTTTCTCCTGGTCATTAATTAATATATTAAGACCACAAATTAACATTAACATATTGAGGCCACATGTTAAGTTTCATCTGGCCACTATTTAATATATTAAGACCCCAAATTAACATACTGAGGCCACATGTTAAGTTTCTTCTGGCCACTGCTTTATATATTAAGACAGAAAATTCATATATTGAGGCCACATGTTAAGTTTCTTCTTCCCACTATTTAATATGTTAAGACCCCAAATTAACATATTGAGGCCACATATATATGTTGATTTGTAATAACTCTTTCAACATATTAAACCATGTCTTATTAAAAAATAATCACCATGTCATCTTAGGGGCTCCACACACACACACACACACACACACACACACACACACACACACACACAGTCAAGACAGTCAACTTTTTCTAAAATCTGTACATTTTCATCTTCTTCTGTTCTTACCCTGATTTATTATTTATGTGCAGGGTTGGGATGTAACGGAATACAGGAATTGGGAACTTATACTTATTACAGAATACAAAAAAGGCGTATCTGTATTCAGTCCAAGTTACATTTTGTGAAAGCAGGATTCAGAATATAGATACCTTTTATATATTTAGGAGAACACTTTTAGAATACTTACCCATTAAGTTTTAGAAAACGTATACCATCCTTAAAAGAAACACAATCAATGCTTCTTTATTCACGATTTTAAAATCAGTGCATGGTCTGTAAAGATGTACTCTAAAAAAATTCTCTCTAAAAGCTCAGAAAACAAAAGGAACTCAGAAAATGGATTCTTTACAACACTTGTTGACTTGTCATGAAAGGGAAGTGGGATTATGGGAGCAGCAGAGGACTGAATAAGGTGATGATAGCCAAATTAACATTGGAAATTTTGTATTGATTTCTGTATTCATTTGAATAATTTTTCATGACACATAATATCAGTAGAATCACATGAACAAAACTGCCAACAGCGAGGGAACAGTGTGATTAAAAAAAAATTACAACAGCCGAACAAACATTTTTGCTCATGCACTTTATCAATATGTATTCTAAATGTATTCCGAATACATTACTTTTTATGTATTATAATGAAATACATTACTGAATACATTTCAGACGGTGTTTTCAGTGTTCAGCCATCTCTACACAAGTACTTTGCCCAAGCCTGGTTATATGCTGCACTGAAAAAAACATTGCTGACTAGCTAGTGCTGAAATGTGACATAATCATAACAGTCAATACGCTACAAACTAATTACTAAGTAAGTTAAGGTCAGCAATTGCCCACCTGCTCGGATATGTCCTCGTCCTCCTTAAGTAGCTTTTTCATTCGTTCATTCTTGTCTTCTGTGTGACCTCAGTTTTTTGCAGTTCTTGCTGCTGCTGTCCATCTTCACATTCAAGTGTGAAAATTGCTACATGATAATGCAAAAAAAGCACTTCCTGTTGTGTCAATCAGCACCAGTTTCACACCATCTCATTGAATTTTGACATGTTAATCTCTCAAGGTCGATGTTAGCTTCTTATTCTTATTTCTGTTCTGCCATTAAATAGTGCAGCAGTCACACAGTAGCGCTCGTACAGGCGTCTGAATGTAACTTCTACATCATTTAAGCTGGAATGGGAAATGAGAAAAAGAAGCTTACTGCAACTGTATCAGCAAACCGGAGCTGTACCACATTATTGGCCCACTAGGAATTGTCCCGACTCTCCTGATTACCAACTCCGGCATTGGACACCACAAATTAATAATATTAACATTGCTGCATTTACAGCTTTGAGACGTCTACGGCACCTTGAGACACTTTTTGCAGCACTGTGGTTCAATTTTGTCCCATTCCTCCTCCTTGTTTTCAATCCCCCCAGGTTATGAGGGTCCTTCTGATGTAGTGTTTCTCAAACTAGAGACCATGACACCCTTGGGGGCTGTAGGGGGGCATAAAGGAGGCAACAGAAATGTTTTAGAAGTTGCTTCTTAACTTATTAAGTGTTGATTTAGTCAGTTTATTAAAACAGCAATACAATTCACACATTATAGCTCAGCAGGACTTACCCTGTGTGTCCAGAGTGACTTTATGCTCATTCAGCGAAGTAATCCACTCAGTAATCCATTTCAAAAACCACTTCAGATCCTGTGTTTATGTCCATTTAAATCCTCATTTAAATCCTCATTTAAATCCCTACAGCACATGTAACTTCTCCTCATGTCTCAAACAGTCCTCTGATTGACTCAGACTCTGAGTTTAGTGCTGATAATCAGAAATTTATCCTAGAGGACAGAAAATCAATAAAGAAACATGGCCGCCTTATGCTAATTGTTTATTTATTACTCATAATGACCAATAGAATGAATCACCATCAGTTGTTTAGCACTTTCAGCTCACAGACAATCCAGACGAACAATTTCTGAAAAGGTATCTAAGGTGCCACTTGTTTTTAAGATCTGTATAAGCAAAAAATTATAAAATTTTGCAGGCACTAGGTAAATTTCGGATAAAAAATTAGCGAAATTCATGAAGATATTAAATTTCTGTTAGCATTTACATGTCGAATAATGGCATATCTGAGTAGCCCAGGGTCTCTTGAAAATAAAAACATGGCATGTGTGACTGTCTCTGCAATTGTAATGGTAATTGACCCAAAATACCAAAAAAAAAAAAGAAACCCAAAATTTCTAGGGTTGTAAGGGTTAAAGCTGTTTCTGCCATATCTAAAAAAGCACTTTAGAAAAAATGGTAGATGTTATTTAACTTTATTAAAATGAAATACATGCCAACTAATACACCTCACAGCAGGTCCGCAGCAACTTAAGTTATCGGTGATGTCATAGAACAGTGACATGTCTCTCTCTATGTGCAGGTCAGCAGTAGCTGCAGATAAAGCTAGCAAAGTGGGCAAAGTTCTGGTAAGACCTGGTCCTTCTTCATTTACTGATAGTAATGACCAGGGGGTGGGGGTGGGGGGCGGGCACAGTGGCCTCTACTATCCACAATACTCAAAAGTTTGAGAACCTCTGCTTTGATGGACTCACTATTTCAAAATCTTGCATACATTTTCCATGGGATTAGATCAGGAGATTAACTAGGCCATGCAAGTACATTCACTTTCTCTTTGAGGAACCTGTCGAGTTATTTTGGCTGTATGTTTATTGTTGTTGGTTATCTTCCTTCATATATCTCCTGGTGCATCACTCCATTCATGTTCCCTTTGATGACATATAATGACATCTAATGCCTCAGAAGCAGAGAAGCAGCCCCATATCATGATACTCCCACCTCCATGCTTCACTGTGGATGTGGTGTTCTTGGGATCATATGCTCAACCCTTCTTTCTCCAAACATGACAAGCTGAATTATTGGCATTTTTGATTTGTCTTAGCAGAGTACACTGTTCCTAAATCAGTTCGGACTTGTCTAAATACTTATGTGCAAATTTTAGATGCACATCTCTGTTCTTCCTTTTTTAGCAGAGGAGTTTTGCTTATTGTTCCCTGTGTAAATGTTGTTCCTGATGCTTTCAGGTCATCCAGCAACTTTTTGAGAGACTGCTGGCTTCTCTCATACCATCTTTATCATTAGTCTGTAAAATCTTGCATGGCGCTCCTGTCCAGGGAGGATTGTGGTTCCATGAACTTTTCAATTGGATATTATCAACCAAATTGTAATTACAGAGATGTTTAAGGTCTTTGCTATTGCTTTGCAGCCTAATAACATCAGGTGCAATTTGCAAGTGACAGTTTTTTTGGTAACACTTTCTATGAATGCCATGTTTGTAAGCATCTATAAACACATTTATAACATGTTATAATGCATTAATAAGGTATTATAAACAATAAATATTTATAAAAATGAATTACACTGAATTACACTTTATAGCCA